ATTAAGGCAATTAATATGGCAACATCATGTACAATATCATGCATATCAAACAAACCATTGTGACGACCATCAAGCAGCAAAGAAGAGGACTTTAGATTACTAACCAATGTTAGTACCCTGTCTCGAGCTTCTCCTGTTGTCTTGACATTACCAAATAAGTCTAAGCCGATTCCATACATTAGCAAGTCTTCAATAGAAGAATTGTGTCCCAACAAGCAGCAAAGCAAGAAAGTTTGCTGGAGCTCTTTTCCTCCTAGATGATTGTAACTCAATTCTATTGCTGAATAAACATTTGCAGATATCCCCGTGAAACTCTCTGGACAGGGCCTTTTCAGTTGTACTAGAGCATCCCTCCATACATGAGCATCCTTACCTTTCAAAGCTTTTGCTACTGCTTCAACAGCCAGTGGCAGCCCAGCACATTTTCCCACTATCTCTTTTGCCGTAGGCAGTAACTCAGAGTTTTCAACTTCATCACCAACGATCCTCTTCAGAAGCGCCCATGCTTCTTCAGCTTGTAACGTACCAACTTCGATGTTTTCACGAGTACCCATGCGTGATAAAACATTGAGATCTCTAGATGTGAGGAGAATTTTGCATTGCATCTGTTCTTCTTCAGTTTTTTTTTTGCACAGCATCTGTTCTTCTTCAGTTGAACTCGCCTCACTCTTCTTATTTTCAAATGGAATTCCAAGTTCACCCAAATCTAGCCTCGCCCAGATATCATCTAAAATCACAAGAATCTTCTTTTTATTCAAATACCCCTTTAGTTGAATGGCCCTCCCAAATTCAGTCTCCCCCTGGAGCTGTAGACCTAATTTATCTGCAATTTCTCCTTGAATTTTCTTCAAGTCTGGATCCTTTTTCACAGAAGCCATAACTATCACATCAAATAACTGCTCTTCCCCGGCTTGTCTAGCAACCTCTTTGGCTAACATGGTCTTGCCCACCCCAGGCAGCCCATGGATGCCTATCTTGTCAACACTAGCACTTCTCAAGGCCTCCATAACACGGTTCAGAGTCGGCATTCTTGATTCAAATTGCTCAAAACCTTCAGCTGCTCCGGTCGATATCTCTTTTGGAGGAAGCCGGTAGGAAACTAGGAACCCGGATCCGGCAGCTTCTTCTAGAAGTGGAGCAACAGCCTCCAAATACTCCTCTACTTTCTTGCTAATTTGGTAACGGGCCCTGGGATTAGGACACAACCCAGCGAAGCACTTCTTCTTTGCTTTGTCTTCGTCATCTCCTAACTTCTCCAGCTCTCCAATGTACTCCTCTGCACTTGTAAGCCAATTCATGACATTCAGTGCGGCCTCTTCCCCTCTTCGTCCAGCAGCTTCAGTAAATTGCAGCACACGCTGTTTTTCAGCAACCAGCTTCCCTGCCTTTTCCTTCAGAGTCTTTACATTAGACCCCGACTTGAACACACGCGTGATTCGGTTCCAGATTAGCTTTAAAAGTGGATCAACCAGGATCTCTGTACATTTGCCAACAACAGCAGTACCAACAGCAGTACCACCAGCGATACAACAGCCGGCCATTTTCTAATTTTTTATTAAAAAAATTTGGATTTTGACTTTTGTGAAAATATATGTAAAACAAACAGCTAACCAAATATTTGGCGGGTTGCTACCACTAAGTTTTAATTTGAGATGAAAATCAAAAATTTCGAACTCCTGCAATATTAAACAATTATGTATTAAAAAATTTGACATAAAATTGACATATCCATAGACAATAGAGACAAAACAGAATTAACATATATTTAGATAAAAATTAATAATAAAAGAGAAGGGATTTTAAGTGAAAGACAAGAATTAATATTAACTTTCTTTGAACAAAGAAAAGTGAAAGAGGAGAAAATAATATTTTTATTATTTAAGTAAATAATTAAAATAAAATATTTCTATATTATTTATTTTTATAAAATAAAATAAAACAAAATAAAAAGGCTAAAGGTTAAGCCAACGCATCGCCACCTCCAATTTAGAGAAATGAAAAAAGGTGGAGCAAGGGGGCTACCGCCCTTCCATCTTCCTTTCTCCATTAATGAAATAATCAAACAAATAAAATGAGACAATAGACATCTTCCTTCCTCTTCTACTATTCCCTTCCAAATCTTTTAATCGAAACTCAGTTAAGGAAAAATTTTTGAATTGAGAGTAGAAGTAAAACAAGAAGTTTAGTTTGAGAGAATAAAAGTGTAAGGACGTACTTCTTGGCGAAAAAAGAGGTGAGATAAGTAGCGGAAAAAAGCACAAATAACCATAGATAAAGGAGAACAAGTGAAATCGCTCAAATAATTTCCATCAAAATCAAGGAAACAACTGTAAATATATATATAAAAAAAATGAGGCTCGAAACTGCTAGCTTCACCAATAAATTACCTAAAGAGATGTAGAAAAGCAAATAAAGGCAAAAATATGACATAAGGACCCGAATTTACACCAAATTCGCAATTTCGGACCCAAACTTCAATTGTGTCCAATGAAAGTCCCAAACTCCATGAAATTCTCAAATAAGCTCCTAATTGTACGGAAAACTAACTTCCCTCAAATCTCCCATTATTCCGTTAATGTTCCGTCACATTTCACACCCGCCACTTAAAAAAAAATTGGTTAAATATTAATTTTGGTCCCTCAACTTCATTGAGTTTCACTTTTTTGTCCCTCAACTTCATTACATTTCACTTTTTTGTCTCTCAACTTCATTGAATTTTACTTTTTTATCCCTCAACTTTATTAAATTGTACTTTTTGGTTCATAAACTATTTTTTGTACTTTTTGATCCTTAAATTATTTTTTACACTTTTTTAATCCCTT